GGAAACCCCTCTATCAGTATTGTGTTCATTGCATGAACATGCTCATTGGTACTAGAAAGAATCGCACGTTCACGCATATAATCTATAGAGGTACAATTTTCCTCAAGATTGGGAAACACTTGTTTGATAAGGCTGTCAATTGTGTTATCTTCTGAACTTATTTTTTATTCATTCTTACTAGAATCTTGGCTCCATTCCATGATGATATCATCAGGAAATTGAACATAATCAGCACCAAATGTTTTTTAGTTCCATTTCCAATTCTTAACAGGTACTCCATGAACCAGTTATCGTTTTAGCTCACATGTTTTGGGTAAGCCAAAACCTTCATACATTGTCCCATATATATGACTTCAGTAAAGTAGCATCGGTAATTTGTGCTCTTGTACCTTGTGACACCATGGGAAGAACTTGCCCGAAGTCACCTCTGAACAGCATGACCTTACCATCAAAAGGTTGGTTGCAATCCATTATATCTCGCAATGTTCTGTTGAGTGTTTCTACTGCTTGTCTCTTTGTCATGGCTACTTCATCCCATATTACCAAGGTAGCCCTATGAAGCAATTCGGTAGTACCACTCTGCTTGGTAAAGCTGCACATAGTGTTTATTATCTAGCTTGATGGGAATCTTGAAGCGAGAGTGTGCAGTGCGTCTGCCAGGCATGGTACTTGTCGCAATACCAAATGTGGTTGTAGCAATTGCTATAAGATTCATGGAGCGCACCTTTGCAAGCAAAGCCTTACACATATATGTCTTGTCAGTTCCTCCTGGTCCATCAACAAAAAATATCTGGCCAATTTTCTTCCCCACACGATTCATAATTAAACTGAACCTAGCTCTTTGCTTAACATTCAGTGTTTGTATCATTTTCAGATGTTCTTCTTCATATCCAATATTTAATTCTTCTGTAAGCTCTCTATAATGATCTCTTGACACCTTATTTAATGAAATAAATTGTAAAGGGTCATGTCAAAATGATGAATAAGAAGCATTAATTTTTAAATAATATTTTGTGTCATATCTAAATACATTTTTATGAACCAAAAATAAGTTTTTTTAGAATTTTTATATTTATCAATTTACTCAAGGCATCTAGTTCAGGAAGTCCATAGTTTCTAATGTCTCTACCCATATCTTTAACATGTATAAATATGTCTTTAAGCACCATATGTTCAACCATTTTTGAGAAGTCATTTATTCAACGATAATCCTCAGACATTGAATCTATATGTTTGTCCCATAGTGTGCGGACATTATTACACTCGCAGAAAACCATGATAGTTGCAAATAGCCTCCTCAGAGCACAAGGCATCTTAAATTGTGCAGATTCAATGAGACAATCATCTAGGTTCTTGTCTATATCCACGTAGCCCAAGGACTCGCAAGTATCTCTAAATGTTACATATGTAGTTCCATGTCGACTTCTAAGATGCTCGAATGAAGTTGCACCTCTCACATGGTTTAGAAGCACACGGAGATAGTATCGCTCACCTTTAGCAGGATATGCATACACCAGTCTTCCAATCTGACCACCTTTTTCTCTGGGCTTCCAAAGCTTTTTCGACTTTATCCAAGTGCTCAGAAAACTCTCTATATAAATACTTGCGTGCATCCGGATTATACATGTTTGTGCTGAAATACTCTGTAAGCATGGACCTCTGGGAGTTAGGATTTCGCACAACATTGTTCAGATCATCCCTAGCTTTGTAGGCAACCATATGCATTCCTGAAATTAAGGTGAACTTGCATTTGTAACATAGAAGGTGACATATCATACAAAGAAAAACCGTATAACCTATAGGTCGCTTAATCTCATTAATAACCCATGGTTGTCCTTCCATATTTGCTTGAGCTCCATCTATCGAAAAGAAAACACGGTCATGGCCCTTAAAGACGTACTTGTATAGATACTTAATAGACTTTATGCTGCAGCAAACCTCTACATTAATATGACAAATTATACTTCATTAGAAGGATTGGATTATATGACACAACCCATCTGTTGTCCATCCATTACCTTTTTTTTTTCCACTTTTTGCCCATCATCTCTCCTTCTATAAATAACATATGAGTTATTTCCTTGTTGTGTGGTTTCACAAAAGTCACAGGGATAATGAAAGCGGCAATTACCATCTACCATACATGGGCACTTATGGTTGAGAACACCACATGGTCCATGCATCATATGAAGTTTATGCAATTCAGGATATTTGTTCTGATCAGGAAGCTTTGCTGATATATACTTGTCATAATCATTAGGGCTATGTGCTTTGCTTTTGTCTTTCATAACTAAAAGGAAGTGTTCATGTAGTAATCTCCTTTTCTAAAACTCAGTGACATGTGCCCAGGCAGCAACCCTACCCATATGATGCCTTTGAATAAGGAAATCTTGGAGGTCTCGTAGCTTTGCTCTATAAACCATTGCCAGTATTTCTGGACGATCTTGTGGCATTTGACCTAGCAATAACTATTCTACTATCTCAAATAATAAAGACCTCTTTCTTTATGGCTCTCAAATATTAGGCATAGCACCGGATTACTCTCTAACAGACTGTTCTCCAACTTCAAGTCCTGTTGATTATCACAGAAATGAAGCCATAGATTGATGACAACAGGAATTACTTGTGAGGAAGAACCTAAACAAGCAAGTTTAGGTACACGCGGTGGTGATGCCTATTGAGACGGTGGCGGGCCTCAAGATACAGCACCTACCCTGTGGCTGTTACGTTGATATATAGGCATATAGCTGGTTTCCACAGCCAGTTCAAAGAAGTGGGCGACAGTGATTTGTAATGAGTGACGATCATAGTCTAGTCAGATTAACATAAAACTGCCTGTACATATAGACTATATAGTACCATAAAGATTTGATGAAAAAATGGTTAAAGACTATGATTTCAGGTTACATATTCTTGACGACGAACAACAATATGCCGATCTACACGTGCTGGCGCATCCCTTCGGTCCGGGGACGGTGTTGGCGATCTTGCAGTGACCGATGATGGGTGCATCCACCGGCTTCTGGCGAGGTTTCCATGACCCTGCCTCCACCAACTAACTGTGATTGATTGCGGCGAGCCGGCGATTTCTTGCGGTCTGATTTGTTACAGGATCGTGGGGAAAATCGGAGGGGCGTCGTTCGCATGATAGGCGTTTCGGCAGCTAGGTGTAGGTTTGAAAATTACCGATACATTGTATTGTTTTTCCTTAGGCCAGTTCAATAGGAGTTTTAAAGGGGTTTAATTATATGACATATCGGCAAATTTGTTGAGTTGGAAGGTTAATTATAAAGACATAGAGTTTTATAGCCTTTCATTTACATGAAACATATTGTCACACTTATCAATACAAAAGCTAATGTGCCAGTCTTGCTAATGGTGTCATTGAACTCTCTTTTGAGACTAGCCTTAACACATTTTTTAAAATAAATAATGTGTGTGGGATCATGATGATCGTGCGGTGAAGCTAGGTGGGCAACAAAGCCAGTGAGCGTACGAAGCCACCGGATAGACAGAATCATATTTGACACTTTTAAATTGTATATGTAGATAGATAGAAGATAGATAAAGATAGAGACTAATATTTATATACAAATTTTAGAGTGGTTAGAAAAAATATGGACCGTCCATTGGCTCACATCGGACGGTGAAAAAAATAGAAAGTACCAGGAAAAATATAATGGAAACCCACCTCCTCAGTATGGTGGTGGAGGGGATGACGGCTGCTGCCTGGTGCGAGCGGCGCCACCCTAGGGCTGTGATGCTCCATGCTTGGCTTTGGGCCACCGTCGGATTTGCTGTTTGTTGAGCCATGACAAGCAGCTTGTCTTCCATGGCGGCGGCGAGGGCTGCTGGTACGGCAGGCCAATGCCCTAGGGCTGTGATGCCTTCGATGAGCTTGGCAATTTGGGCCACCGTCGCAAGACTACCGGCCTGCACTACTACACAAAGTGGCTTTTGTGTTGAGCCTTTTGTGACAAGCAGCTTGTCTTTAGTCCATGGCGGGACTAAAGATCCTCCCGACTTTAAAAAAAAAATAATGCCACCGCTAGGGCTGCTGTGAGATTGCAAGACCTCATGGCTGTCGATGCCACCCCAGCCTACACAACACATCTAACAATGAATGGGATGCTTTCCTTTTGAACTAATCTGGGGACCTTTAGTCGGTTGGTGTTACAACCGACTAAAAATCCTTTAACGGTTGGTCCCTTAGTCCGGTTAGTAATACGGCGGACTAAATTGACACACACACGGGAGTAAGCTTTAGCAAGACTACCGGCCTGGATGCGGTTAGTCCCGAGGGCAAAAAATGCCGAGGCTAATGCTAAATTGAGACATCGTTCTAAAGTCAGTTCTCTAGTAGTGCTGGATGCCGGTTGGGTTGTCGTGGAGGTCAAGGCTGTTTCTGCGTGCAGGGGCATCGGGCAAGAGGCCACGGCGTGGAACTTCAGCAACGGGAGTGTCGCGATGTGGGAGATGACCTAAAGGCAAGGATGTCATTTTGCATCACACAGACATGCCATCATGTCGATGTGTCTTTGCGCGGATGCAAAAATGGCTTAAAATAAAAAAAACCAAGTATCCAAAAATATTACTATCTCTATTTCAAATTATCAGTCGATTTGACTTTTTGGAACATCCATAGATATATAGCAAAATAAATGAATCAAAAAGTTAAATTGACTTATAATTTAAAATGGAGGGACCAATATACTTTTCAACAACCAAAACAATATTAGGTTCAATTATATTTTGATTTCTTGTGTAGTGAGATTTTTATATTCTTTCTAGGCAGGAAGTAGAAATCAAATTTGCCACTCATTCCAAGGAACCTTAGTGCAGTGGAGTCATGGGTCTGTCCAAATAAAGAAGTTGGAGGTATGAGTACTGGCAAAGTTGCATCACCATTCACAAACACCTAAAATCACACTTAAAAGTCACACCAACCTTCCTGCTCCACCGCTTGGGCTCCTCGCCTCGCCGAACCCAGGTGTTCGACCATGTCCTCGTCGGCATTATCATCGACCTCCAGCCATGGCTCACGAGGCGCGCCGCACATCATCCTCCTCCCAAGCGCTGGCATGGGCCACCTGGTGCCGTTCACCCGCCTCGCCGTTGCGCTTTTCGCCGGCCACGGCTGCGACATCTCCCTCGTGACGGCGCTGCCTACAGTTTCGTCCGCGGAGTCCAGCCACATCGCCGCGCTCTACGCTGCCTTCCCCGCCATCCGGCAGCTAGACCTCCGCCTTGTCCCTTTCGACGCGTCATCCGAGTTTCCCGGCGCCGATCCGTTTTACGTCCGCTACGAGGCCCTGCGCCGCTCCGCGCCCCTGCTCCTCGGCCCGCTCCTCGCCGGCGCAGGCGCGTCGGCTCTCGTCGCGGACATCGCGCTGGCCTCCGTGGCCATACCCGTAGCAAGGGAGCTCCACGTCCCGTGCTTCGTCTTCTTCACCGCGTCGGCCACGATGTTCTCGTTCAAAGCCTACTTCCCCACCTACCTCGATGCCGTCGGCGCCGGACATGGTGTTGGCGACGTTGACGTGCCCGGCGTGTACCGGATCCCAAGTTCGTCCGTTCCACAGGCGCTGCATGATCCCGACAACATCTTCACCCGGCAGTTCGTCGCGAATGGACGGGCGCTCGTGACAGCCGACGGCCTCCTGGTCAACGCCTTCCACGCCATGGAGCCGGAGGCCGTCGAGGCTCTGCAGGGTGGCTCCGTGGTCTCCGGTCTCCCGCTGGTGTTCGCCGTGGGGCCGCTTATGCCGGTGAACGACCTTCGGGAGACACGGGAGGCAGCGCAAGAACAGGGGGACTACAGGGCGTGGCTGGACGAGCAGCCGCCGCGGTCTGTGGTGTATGTCAGCTTTGGGAGCCGCAAGGCTCTTCCCAAGGACCAGATCAACGAGCTCGCCGCTGGTCTAGAAGCGTGCGGCCACCGCTTCTTGTGGGTTGTGAAGGGCGCCGTCGTGGACAGGGACGACGCTGGCGAGCTCAGCGAACTGCTCGGCGAGGGCTTTCTGCGGCGCGTGCAAGGCCGGGGCCTGGTGACCAAGTCGTGGGTGGAGCAAGAGGAGGTGCTCAGGCACCCGGCCGTGGCGCTGTTCATCAGCCACTGCGGCTGGAACTCGGTGACGGAGTCAGCGAGCAACGGCGTGCCGGTGCTGGCGTGGCCGAGGTTCGCGGACCAGCGAGTGAACGCCCGAGTGGTGGCCCGCGCCGGGCTCGGCGTGTGGGCCGAGCAGTGGAGCTGGGAGGGGGAGGAGGCGGTGGTGAGAGCGGAGGAGATCGCGGAGCTGGTGATGGATGCGATGGGAGACGACGGGATGGCAGAGAAAGCGGCGAACGTCCGCGAGGCTGCGTCAAGAGCCGTGGCGGACGGCGGCACGAGCTACCGAAGCCTGGCGGCGTTCGTGCGTCGTTGCACGGCGTGGAGAAGTTGTATTAGGCCTTAGCCAAGTCAATCCTACTCAATACACATAGATTGACGACAATAATATACGTGCATTGAAAAGAGCGTTAAAAATTATAATAATATTTCTCCATATTATGTAACTAATATTAAAAAGATAAAATTAATGTCTATTTTTTCGTCTGGCCATTCAATCAGGCCTATACTTGGCCATGCAGCACGAGGCACGACGGCACGACACGAAGCACGGATAAAAAACCCGAACGAACTAGGCACGGCCCGATGAAACTCGGGCCCGGGCTGGCCCGGCCCGCTGCTCAGGCCATGCTTGGGCTGATCCCCAAGCCCGTGGGCCAGCACGGCCCGCACGACGAGAAATGGAGGAGGCCAACAATGGCCCGACCACCAGCCGGCTGCTAAGAGCACCAGCCACCGGCCGGCCAGCGCAGCAGTGGCAGCCCCTCCCAGTCCCAGCGCTGGACGCGGCCACGCCCGAAGGCCGAACCCTATCCTCGTGACCTCACCCCAGTCGCCTCCCCACGCGGCCGCCTCCTCCTCGGCTCCTCGCCTCCCCACCTCCTCTCTCCCACCCTCGGTGGCCCTCCCTCTCCCTCCAACCACGCCGGTGACCCTCCTCGCTGCCACCATGGCGGCGCCCCTCCTCCCTCTCCCTCCAACCATGGCGGCGCGGCTCGACCACGGCAGCGAGCGTGGCCCGTTCTCCCTCAACCAAGGCGGCGGTGCAGCCAGGAGCAGGCGGCGCATCCACCGAGCTCGCAGCCCCGACGAGATCCGGATCCGGCGGCTTCGCGAGATCCGACGCGAGGAGGCGGAGGACGACGAGATCCACACGCGAGGAGGTGTGTGGCGGTCCCCGGCGGCGGATCCAGGGTGGTAGCGTCCCAGACGGCGGATCGAGGGCGGGCGCGCTCCCCGGTGGCGGATCTAGGGTTCAAGGCTTCAAGCACGCGCAACCGCCTTCTTCCCGCGCGCGGCGTCCCCGCGCGGCCCCACATCCAGGGTGAGCGCGCCGGCGGCGGCGGCCGCCTGCCGCGGCGCCCTGCCTCCTGCTCTCCCCTTCCCTTCTCTGTGGGCCTCGGGCCAGCCTAGCACGCTTGGCAGGCCGTGCCTTCTCGTGTCGGCTCGGCGGCAAAACGGCGGCAGCCAAAGAGAGCCGTGCTCAGGCCCTTGGTCGCACGACGCGCCCGGTGGGCACGGCTCGGGAGGCCGCGCTGCGCTTGCCCGACATCCTCCGGGCCGTGCGCATGGGCCTGCGGGCGGGCGGGCCGGCCGCCCGATTGCCAAGTATAATCTGGCCTAACCGCCTGACCCACTCGCTCGCCTTCTATCTGCAATGTCGCACGGCCCACTCGCCTTCTCTCTGACCCTGTATGGCCGTACGCGCCTCTTCGTCCGCCTAGCTTAGCCTGCCCCAAACCAGCAGCGCAAGATCTCGGCGCAGGAGGGGCCAGTGGCGGCGCATGGGCTCCAGCTGCGCGAGAAGTTGCTGCGCCGCATCCATGGCGGCCAGCGTGGTGCGACGCTTCCCCGTGCGTCGTCTCAAAAAGCGGGTTCGCGGTCAGATGTGGCCAGTGGCCACGAGTGAACTACGTCTGCCGAACGTTTTGGCTTTTGTCCATATGCGGAGGCGGCACAATTCCTCGGCCTCGATAGTCAATACACGTGTGGGCGTGTGGAAGAGGGAAACGGAGAGGGCGGCGGTCGCTGGTCGAAGACTCGAAGTCGAACCCCACGCCGCCATGCCGAACACGGAGACAGAGATGGAGCTCGGAAGCTCTGAGCGAGTTATCTAGCCGGCCTTGTCTACGGTTCAACTGGTCTACGCCTCTTTGCATCCACCTGACCAGTGACCGCTCGTTCGCCCGCGGGAGTCGCGGCGGTGCGATGAGTCGGCAAGACCCGAGGGCCAAGGCTATGATTGTGAGAGGTCAACGCGGCAATGCCTGACGGTCGCAGCTATACTTGGTCTTCGGGCCGGCCCGGCCTGGCCCGACACGGGCCCGTGCTAGGCATGGCCCGGAGAATGTCGGGCCAGCACGGCACGCGGGCCTCTCGGGCCGTGCCCAGCGGGGCGTCGTGCTTGACCAAGGGCCGTGCACGGCTCGCTGGGCCGCTTTTTTGGGCAAGCCCAAGACGAGAAGGCACGCCCACCAAGCGTGTGCAAAGCTGGCCCGAGGCCCACAGAGAAGGGAAGGGGAGAGCAGGAGGCAGGGCGCCGCGGTAGGTGGCCGCCGCCGCCGGCGCGCTCGCCCTAGAGGTGGGGCCGCGCGGGGACGCCACGCGCGGGAAGAAGATGGTTGTGCGTGCTTGAAGCCTTGAACCCTAGATCCGCCACCGGGGAGCGCGCCCGCCCTCGATCCGCCGCCTGGGACGCCACCACCCTGGATCCGCCGCCGGGGACCGCCACACGCCTCCTTGCGTGTGGATCTCGTCGTCCTCCGCCTCCTCGTGCCGGATCTCGCGAAGCTACCGGATCCGGATCTCGTCGGGGCTGTGAGCTCGGTGGATGCGCCGCCTGCTCCTGGCTGCACCGCCGCCGTGGTTGGAGGGAGACGGGGCCACGCTCGCTGCCGTGGTCGAGCCGCACCGCCGTGGTTGGAGGGAGAGGGAGGAGGGGCGCCGCCATGGTGGGAGCGAGGAGGGTCGCCGGTTTGGTTGGACGGAGAGGGAGGGCCACCGAGGGAGGGAGAGAGGAGGTGGGGAGGCGAGGAGCCGAGGAGGAGGCGGCCGCGTGGGGAGGCCACTGGGGCGAGGTCGTGAGGATAGGGTTCAGCCTTCGGGCGTGGCCGCGTCCGCGTGGGGACTAGGGAGGGGGCTGCACTGCGCGGCCTGGCTGGTGGCCTGGTGCTCTTAGCAGGCCGGCTGGCCGGGCTGCTGTCGAGCCTCCCTCCATTTCTCGTGTCGGGCCGTGCTGGTCCATGGGTTTGGGGGTCAGCCCAAGCACGGCCTGAGCAGCGGGCCGGGCCGTGCCGGGTTCGTGTCGGGCTTTTTTTCCGTGCTTGTCGTGTCGTGCCTCGTGTTGCATGGCCATGTATAGTCGGAGCGAGTTACCCCAGTGGTCGGCCTCTAACTTCCGCCACTGCTTGTCGCCTACCCTGTCGGCCTATCTACAGGTCTACATCTGCCACATGGCACTAAAATTTTGGAGAAGAGTGTTTGTGTTGCAGATTTGGGTAGCTCCAACGATTCTATTTTAAAATAGCTCTAAACAGTTTTTTTATATTTTAATAGAAGAGAGAGAAAAGCTAGCTTTTGATCAAGAGCTAAGCTCTTGCGCACATATCCAAGGTTATGTAAAAGTGTTACGTGGGATTATCCATGTTAAAAACTATGTATTTAAAGTTAGCACTATTGAAACAGTTGGTTTAGAGCTAGCAACTAGCTCTAAGCATCGCTGGTGCCCTCAGGCAAAGAAAAGAATGTTGTGTAACGTGTGTTGGCTGCTCGTGTGCTCGGCTAGAGATATGACATGAATGAGCACTCAGGCTGGTTTGCTCCATTGTTTTATAATTTGCATTGAGATAGGTTGATTGTGCACTTAAATTTGGCACATGTTGTATCAAATTAACTCAAAGCTAACATTTATCTAAATTTAGGTGATGATGCCTACAGCCTACACGAGTATGGATTATGATAAACACATGTTTGCTAAGTTGTGCTACTTCAAAAATTATGGGGAGTTTGATATTGTAACTTTATAAAACAAACTTATAAATTATGAATTTTTTATCGGTAGCATGCAAGTGCATATTACGACACATTTTTTCTTCCCTTTTTTTTCTAGCCCTTTGCTGACTAACTACGTGAATATGGAAACTGCCTATGTTTGCACCTGTCTACAGTTCTCGCTAACCTAGAAAGTTAGGAATCCTAATCCAAACAGATTCCTCTAATCCTGAGTAATCAATCTAAATAGAAATCCTATAATCAAATAAAAGAAGAGTAGAAAACTTGCTCAATTAAGATTCGTCAGCCACACACAATTTAGTAATCAATCTGAATATAAATCCTATTCGACCCATTCCTATGCCCATACGAGTTATAACAACGTGCTTCTAGTGAAGATACTGAGTCCGATTCTTATGCATATCGGGTTCCATTGAAACGCATGGGCACATTTGCTAGTATAATAATAACAATAACAATAATAATATATCAACAACAGGGCGTACGATTTGTTCTTGTCGGTGTGGGCCATTTACTTTCTTGCTGAATGCTGATGATCCCCGGTTAGAGTCTGTTTGGGTTAAAGGAATGCAAAACAAAAAAGAGGGAAAACACACAAAAATTAGATGTGGAGTTTTTACCAAAAATAGAAGAAAGAAAAAAGTTAGAAATATATGGGAACCAGTGTTTGGATTGAAGGAATTTGCAAAGGAACACGTGAACTCGCGTTATGTATTCATAAGACACTGACGCAAGGGTCCACTATGACTCAAGTGCATGCCTGGAGCAGCATCAGTGAAGAGGCTAGCTAGTTTATCACTATGACTCAAGTGCATGGCATGTTCGCTTGGCTGATAAGTCATGACTATTGGCTGATTTGTTATTAGAGAAAATATTGTTCATTGGCTGCGGCTTATAAACTAGGCGAACAGGTGTGTGCTGCTGCCTCGATCTTTGTGAAGGAAAAAAACAACAGGTCTGGATGAATCTTTTATTTCTGCATTCTATGCACAGAAGGAAGCCGTTCCAGAGGAAACTAAGTTTCATTTCTCAATCCCAAGTGTAAGCTCGAAATCTCACTCTAGTGATCAAATTCCACAAACCTTGACCCTTCTGCTCACCTTGCATGAAGGAGAAGACAAAGATAAAGCACCCTACCTCAATCCCATGTGTAAGCTGAAATATTTCTCCACTCCATCTTATTACGAGGTCAACACAAGCGAGTGTGTGCACACGCGTCAGATTATGATAGATCGGTCAAATCGGAGGGAGATGGAGCCCCCGCTCCCCCTACACCCTCCGCTCCCCTCTCTTATGGGAACTACGTCGTGCCGGCCACCACTCTGGCATCGGCAT